CCAACAAAGCAAAGAGCATTCTAGCTATTCCCACAATTCCTGGAGCCCCAGCTCCATACTCTCAGCTTCTTTATGCAGTGGCTGAGTGGGTTTGGGAAGCAGACTATGGTGCACTGGTGTCAGTTAAAAGCAAGATGAGCCTCAGAGGAACAAGCAGGATGCCAAGTGTTAGGTTGGAGAGCAGACTAAATTAGAATGTAGGTGGCAACACTTGCAATCTTATCCTATATAATAATAGAGGGATTGGGCCTAAACTGGCAGTTGGACATCCCTTTCACAACCCTGGATCACTGGCTCCTTTATTGCTCACCTGCCTGCCTGCCTGGTCACTCCTAACTGCCCCCCTGCCAGCCTGGTCACCCCTCACGCCCCCACCCCCCTGCCCCGCCGGCCTAGTCAAGAGATCCAGGAGTCTTCATTTTGACACTTATCATGGGATACTTTGAAACTCTGAGTTTTCATTTGCTCATTTGTCAAGTTAGGATAATTGCAATAATACCCTTACCAACTTCAGGAGATGGTCTGAGTGGAAGGGATTCATGACTTATTGTCCATGAAGGCACTCCACAGAACACTTTACAAAGGTGTTCTCATTATTGTAATTTCTATTTTGAAGGAAGCAGCAAAACTGTGGAGATGAACCTTCAGCTCCTCAGGACCATGGGACAAACAACAATCATACATTTCCCACTAGTTAAGCCACACGTCCTCTCTGCTCACTAGCGGAAAAGAAATAAATGAAAGACTTGCTGAAAGCACGTGTGCCTATTCTGGGTCTAGAAAAAATATAGTCATGAACTGCACAACATTTCAGTCAATGACAGATGGCTTATAGGACACTGATCTCCTGAGATTAAAATTCCTATCGCCTGATGATGATGGGCCTGCCATCTTAGCACTCTCTGAAGAGTGACACCTCGTCAAGAAGCTCAGGTAGGTCCTTCAGGAGGCGGTCCAAAAGAAATACAACCCAGGAGATGACAGTTTCATGCCCATTAGTGTCCCTGGAGACCTTCCAATGGGATAAGAGGTGAAGACAGTGATACTGATAATCCTGACTGTGTAGGCCTAGGCTGACATGTAATTGTGTCTTAGCTTTTAATTAAAAAAGTTGAAAAAGTGCGCCGAAACAGGTTTGGCTCAATGGATAGAGCGTCGGCCTGCGGACTGAAGGGTCCCAGGTTCGATTCCGGTCAAGGGCATGTACCTTGGTTGTGGGCACATCCCCTGTTGGAGGGTGTGCAAGAGGCAGCTGATCGATGTTTCTCTCTCATCGATGTTTCTAACTTTCTAACCTTCTCCCTTCCTCTCTGTAAAAAATCAATCAATAAAAATAAATAAATAAATAAATAAATAAATAAATAAATAAAAAGTTTAAAAAGTGATGCCGAGACCAGTTTGGCTCAGTAGATAGAGCATCGGTCTGCGGACTGAAAGGTCCCAGGTTCGATTCCAGTCAAGGGCATATACATTGGTTGCGGGCACATCCCTGGCAGGGGGCGTGCAGGAGGCAGCTGGTCGATGTTTCTCTCTCATCAATGTTTCTAGCTCTCTATCCCTCTTCCCTTCCTCTCTGTAAAAAAATCAATAAAATATATATTTTTTTAAAAAGTTTAAAAAGTGAAAGAAAAATAAAACATTAAAAACAGGAAAAGTTATGCTATAGACGATAAAAAGAAAATATTTTAGCACAGTTGTATAATGTGTATTTTAAGCTAAATGTTATTACAAAAGAGCCAAAAAGTTTTTAAAATGTTCAGTTTATAAAGTAACTAGAGGCCCAGTGCACAAAATTCATGGGCGGGGGCTGGGAGGGGAGGGGAAGTGGGTCCCCTCAGCCCAGCCTGCACTCTCTCCAATCCGGGACATCCCTCTCACAATCCGGGACCACTGGCTCCTAATTGCTCACCTGCCTGCCAACCTGATCACCCCTCACTGTGTCTGAGTGCTGGCCTGATAGCCCCTAACTGCGCCCCCTTCCAGCCTGGTCACCCCTCACAGCCCCTCCACTGACCTGGTCGCCCATGCAGCCTGCTGTTCAGTCATTTGGTCATCCCTCACTAACCCCCCTGACAGCCTGGTCACCCCTCACAGCCCTCCACTGACCTGGTCGCCCATGCAGCCTGCTGTTCAGTCATTTGGTCATCCCTCACTAACCCCCCTGACAGCCTGGTCACCCCATGCAACCTGTTCAGTTGTTTGGTCATCCCTCACTAAACCCCCTGCTGGCCTGGTTGCCCCATGCAGCCTGCTTGTTCAGCCATTTGTCCCTCACTAACCCTCCTGCTGGCCTGGTTATAGGCAGCCATCTTTGTGAGGGAGTGATAGTCAATTTGCATATTACCTTTTTTATTATATAGGATAAAGTTACAGTAAACCAAGGTTAATTTATCATTAAAGAAAAACCGTTTCTATTATATCACTTCATTGTAGCCCAAGTGTACAGTGCTTAGAAAGTCTGCAGTGGTATAGTCATGTCCTAGTCTTCACACTCACTCACCACTCACTGACTCATTCAGAGCAACTTCCAGGCCTGCAAGCTCCATTCATGGTAAATGTTCCACTGTTTATTTTTATACCTGATTTTTACTGTACCTTTTCAATGTCTGCAATATTCAATACAGTACCATGTTGTATAGGCTTGTAACCAAAGAATAGGTTATACCAAACAGCTGAGGTGTCAGTAGGCTAGACTAGTGGTCGGTACATTAGTCAACAGAGCCAAATATCAACAGTACAACAACTGAAATTTCTTTTGATAGCCAAAATTTTTTTAAATATATTTCTTTATTGATTTCAGAGAGGAAGGAAGAGAGATAGAGAGACAGAAACATCAATGATGGAAGAGAACCATCAATAAGCTGCCTCTCACACGCCCCCCACTGGGAATAGAGCCCACAAACCAGGCATGTACCCTTGGCCAGAATCAAACCCATGACCCTTCAGTCCACAGGCAGACATTCCATCCACTGAGCCAAACCAGCCAGGGCTAGAGAGCCAAATTTTTTAAACTGAAACTTCTTCTAACGCCACTTCTTCAAAATAGACTCACCCAAACCGTGGTATTTTGTGGAAGAGCCATACTCAAGGGGCCAAACAGCCACATGTGGCTTGCGAGCCGGTTTGCCGACCACTGTGCTAGACCATCTAGGTTTGTGTAAGTGCACCTACAATGTTCCCACAACGAAATGACCTAACAATGCTTTCCTCAGAATATATCCCATCATTAAGCAACACATGACTGTAGTTATAGAAAAACCTATAAAGCTGAGAGGTATTTTTGAGAAATATGATGTTTAAAAACTTCCCCAAAATGTGTTCCACAAGGTATCCAAATGATTTGGTGGTGACATCAGTGTGGGAACAGGCTACCTCACCCAGGCCCTCTCCGAGACCACAAGAATGAATTTCCAATGAGGATATGTGATGCAGGATGTGCCAAATTTATTTAACAACAGAACCCCTTTTCCACAGAGCATCTGTCAAGAGGTTTCACGAAACATACATTGGGAATTAAACTTTCCCATTGGACAAAATGTTATATGGGCACATGGACCAGCTTAAAGGGGAAACAAGAATAACTGTTAACATCTGGTCAGCAGCAGGCAGTTGCTGGACATGTTGGAAAAGGAGATATGGATTTTCTCCAGGTACTGACACAGCAGGACATTTCCCTGAAGCACCCTGATCCCAGCTCCTCCAGATGTGCCAGCTATGCAACCCCGCACACCAGTCACACAGTAACTACACTTTAATTTTTGTTCTAAAATATGCTTTTTCCCTCGGTGAACTTTAATTAGTCCAGACCTCCAATTCCCCTTAAACACACACATACACTCACATGCACACACACGCATACATACACACACACACACACACACACACACACACACACACACACACACCACCCTCCAAGCAAGTGAATAATCCCCGGCGATCTATAACAAATATTGACACGAGGGGGAAAAAAGGCATGTTGAAATGTATTAGAATCAGAACCTGTACAAAAAAAAAATTAAAATATAACCTGAAACTGTTCAAGTTCAGAAAGGCTAGTCAAGTCCTTTTCTCTTGCCAAGAGAATGCCATCATCAGAGGGCTCTGGGTCATTAGCCAAGGAGGGGTGGAAAGAAACAGACAGAAGCAGCAACAGGTCCTTCCCCAGCAGGCTGGGCCTCAGCACCACCATCCCCACCACAGATGCAGCCAGGAGTAATTAAAGATCTGGGGAGAGCAAGTGTTGGCAGACAGTCCCAGTGGGCAGCTGGGCTTTCACACCGAAAACCAGTCTGAGTAGTCAGGCAGCAGAGAACACCAAGCTGGAAGAAGTTTCTGCCACCGAGCAGACCCACAGCACCCTCCACGGGTGCTCAGATACCAGACATCAGTTAACCTAATGCTCCCAACTAATGAGAGATTTGAGCTGGGCTTAAGAGGCTGAGTAAACATAGCCCAGCATCACATCCCTCCACAGCCTGATTGGAGCTGCCAACGAGGGACAAGGCAGGGGAAGGAAAACAAAGCATTTTGATACCTGGCTAGAGTGCCTGCACCATTGTGGGTACTGTGATACATGGGGCTGGAGGAGTGCCCCCTCCTCACTCAGAGGAGCCTCCTTTGCAGTCATCCCTATGGGCTGGTTAAAGCTGCCTCTGGCTATGACCAGCCTGACCAAATGACATGGAGCAAAAGAAAAACTGGGAGAGACAAGCCCTTAAACAGAGACAAGAACCTCCTGGAGGGAAGCTGGGCAGTGTTGACCCTGTTGGGATGGCATCAGTGGAGCCCCTGAGTCTGAAGGGAGAAACTGGGGAAGGAGGGCGTGGTCGAGGGAAAGGAGTTAACGGTTCTTCTGGAACAGTACCAACAGGATGGGGAGGCGCTGGTGAGGGGATGGGCAGGTCTGGAACTCACTGAAGGTAGAGAGAGGAGGAAATAGGCCCTAGGTGTCCCCTCCCCACCTGCCCAGGCCTGGTGAGTGCCAGCTGCCCCAGCCGGCCCTAGTGGCGGCTGGAAACCAGACCTTTCACTTTAGACATCTTCTTGGTGGGCTGCCTCTGCTCGGCGTGAGGGGGACACTCCCGTTCGGCCAGTTGTTGCTCCATCTCCTGAGCCGAGGAGGATGCTGTGGCCTTGAGGGTCTTCTTGATGTTGGTAACCTGGAGGGAGACACAGAATTTGTGTGCTCCTTCTGTAAGCACCAGAAACCCACCGAAACTCATTCTCGTTCTAATGGGGGCCACCTACGGAAGAAGCCAGAATCCTCTGCAAGAAAATGTGAAATTACCTTTAACCAGATGAGGAGAAATAAGCTGGAGCTACTCATGGGAGATATGTGGAAATGAGTCAAGCAAAGAAGTGGACTAATGCCTGCTTCGTTGAAAAGAGGGGAAAAGCCATGTGGAAGTGGACCATTTGGCAAAGAAGTAAAAGAAAGCAGTGGTTAAAATGGCCTTCGAAAAAGAAAGGATGACAAAGAATTTGACTGCTACTGTTCATGTATGAAACCAAATATTTCCACAAGAAGTCTGGGGATTCTGCTCCCCAAGCGCTTCCTGAATAAACAACTAGAGCCACCTAACTTATAAATGATGAAAATGTAGGAAAGAAAAAAAAAAAAGAAAAAGAAAAACACCTAGCAAAATACTACCACCCTACTGTTTTTCAGGATACCTTTCTTCACTCAACAAAGGAAGAGCTCAAATCTATTTAAGCAACTCCTGAACACTTTTCCATGTCAGACTACACATTCTCTGTACCATTTGTGACTATTCTGCTATGAAGGTTCTATCGTCTTCAAATTAGCTCCCAGTTTGTTGTTCACCAAGTACAGAGCTCCTACAACACCCTTCTATGTTTACCTTTGCATATTTTTGTGAATATCTGTGGACAGTCATAGAAGTGAGCTTTCAGTTCCTGACCTGCCAGCCCAACCAGCAGACTTGGTACTGAAGCACATGCACCCCACGCACCGAGACAGCTCTCCCATCAGCCTCTCAACAGTCCCCCAGAGTTTAACTAACTAAAACACTTTGCTGTTTATTTATATAGCAAAAGAGGCTATGGTTCAGCACTCCCAGTTTCACATCCTTTAACATAATCTAATGTCACAGGTTCTCACCAGCTCTATTCACAGAGGGCACATTTGTGTTCTCTTCCCATCCCTACCACCACTCCCCACCAGGGTGATGCAGACTCCCTGTCTCTTGGTAACTCAATTCCATGTAAAAGTCTTTGATTCAGAATCCTGTCAAAAGCTTTTCACCAAATAAACAGACAAAAGCACAATTACCCTCATCCTGCCCCCTTTTCATTCAAATGCCTCCTCAAGCACTGCCCTCCCAATAAGTCCTTATTTTGGGTGCTTGGTGACCCCGGTCACATACAAGGAAAAGAAATGAGATGTATCCCCAAGGGAAAGCTTGGTTCTCTCTCCATATCTGAAACACCACTCATAATCCTGTACCTTCCTTCCCCCAACGCACATGCTTCACTCAAGCCACGCCAGTCCACTGTGTCTTGGCCAGAGCTGTCATTCATCTCACCTTTGAAGTCCCCTGTTATTCTATCCTGGGCAAGCTTCCTCCTTCGCTAGACATCTGACCCTCCCTGTAGTCAAGCACCTTTCCTACAAACCTGCCCTGACCACTCTAGCCCACACCGACCTGCCTCCCATCTATACTTGCCTAGCAGTACCTCCTCCTCTTCATGGAAAAAGAAAAGAGCAGAGCTTCCCGGGTAGGAAAACGTCACTCAGTTGTGAGACAAAGCAAAGGCAGATAAAAGCAGAGTCCACAGTGGGAAAGAGTTGGGAGATGGAGAGAACACTCGCCAGAAAGAACCAGGAGGCACCCTTTGGTGCGCTCTAACAGCCAACAAGCCTCAAGACTGTCACTAACCTAACTCATGGGGGATTTTCTGCGTCATGAAAAACTGGGCTTACTTTGTCCAATTACACTTTATTACCTACATGACTCAAACAAAGCCTACTTTGTAAATGTAATGGTAGCTATATATTAACATTCCACACAACATCAGACATATGCACATACAAATATGAAGAAAAACATGCTCCAAAGTCAAATACAAACAAGGAGATGCTCTGATGCTTCCACCAATTGTTTCCTTCCCTCCAGAGTACTTGTTCAGAGACTAGAGACTATGAAACAGATCACAATGCTATTACTCTAGCATCCCCAGGTATGCTAGAATTGTAACTTATTAATATGTTATTTCTGTGAAAGGGAGAGGATATTCTTAGGCAATAAGTGAGAGATGACTGCACTAAAAGGGAATGTTCTTTTTTCTTTCTTTCTTTTTTTTTTTTTTTTTTTTTTTTTACAGAGAGGAAGGGAGAGAGATAGTCAGAAACATCAATGAGAGAGAAACATCAATCAGCTGTCTCCTGCACACCCCCCACTGGGGATGTACCCGCAACCAAGGTACTGTAGCACATGCAACCCTTGACCAGAATCAAACCTGGAACCCTTCAGTCCGCAGACCGACACTCTATCCACTAAGCCAAACCAGACTTGGCAAGGGAACATTCTTGAAGCAACAACTCACCAAAGGGAAGCTGCTGTTATAAAAATTGGGGGGGGGCGAGGGGGGGAGAATATCAAGTTTTTCCCTCTGAGAAAAAGCAATCTAATTTAAGGACAAATAAGGAAAGTTCACCAACTCAGTTGATAGAATGGCTAAAAAAATTAGGTCAAGTGTAACAGAAGCATAAATACCAACAGAAAATTACAGAATTATACTTTTGTTCTTTGTAGATTTATTTTCTTTTCTAGTCAACAAATATTTAGTGAGCCTTTGCTGGGGAATGATCAACAACCTACACTCAGTACTCCGACTATCATTTACTGAATGAAAAAACTTGCCCTGGCCGGTGTGGCTCAGTTGTTTTGACATTGTCCCGTGCACCAAAAGGCTGCCAGTTCAAACCCCCCCAACCCCCCAGTCAGGCCACATGCCCAGGTCAGGCTGTGTGCTCAATCCCCCATCAGGGATATGCAGAAAGAAGGTAGCCAATCAACATTCTGTCCTTACACTGATGTTTTTCTCTCTCCCCTCCCGTCCCCTCGCTCTAAAAATCGACTTTTAGATAAACTGACAAGGCTCTAGGTTTTAATCATGCTCCCTTTCCTCTCATTGTGGTCTGTTCCAAATTTCCTAGAAGATGATTATTAGTAAATCAGTAGATTAGTATCGAAGAGATCTTTAGTCTTTTCTGCAAATTAATTTCTCTTGAACTTAACCTAATCTGTACTGCCACCAGGTGGCAGCTTCAGGTTCTGTCAGCAGGGATCTCCATAGCCGTGTTTTGTATCAGTGAGCCTTAACAAATCCATGTGTCCTGGCTCTTTTTTTTTTTTTTTTTAAATCCTAACTTAAAGAGTCACACTCATCTCTACCCCAGCACCCAGCCAGAGCCTGTTTGTTGATGTTTGATTATTTAATCTACAACAAGAGTAATAAGATAAAGAAACAAACAGGGATCCTCTGGAGCAAGGGAACAAAATTCTCTTCCTTACCTCTGCCTCTACCTGCTGCTGAGTTCGGCTGTGGTTCTCCTTGTACTGGTTGGCTCTCAGAACTTGCTGCTCAATGCCTAGCAGAACTGCTTCACAACCGTCACACCTGCGGAGGAGATAGCCAATCCTGAGCCATATAAAGGTCTGGGAGCTCTCCTGCCGACTCCAAAATCTCCCTCCCAACTCCTTACAAGGGCTCTTATCCCCATACTCCTTCCAAAAGACGAGCATTTCTAAACAGGGCATTTAACATAGGGCACAAAGAGACAAATATGAAGGATGTGGTAGTTTCTTAGAATACAGCCTTTATCTCCAAGTTCTGTATCCCATAGGAAAGGAATTAGGAGAGAGTTTACACATATCTTGAGAGAAAAAAATATGTTCTAAAAACTTATATTTTGAAGATTGTCCCCTTTCTCAGAAATTTAAATTACTTCCTGTCATCCCCCTCATCTTCTTTTCCCTACTTTTTATTTTGAAAATTTTAAACCTAAAAATGTTGAAACAGTGTACAATGAATACCCACATACCCTTCACTTAAGATTCAATAGCTGTAATCAGCTATATTTGTTGTACCTCTCTGCATTCCAATTTTGCTTCAAATTGAACTCCAATGCCTAAACACAAGTTTTAAGAATCTGCACCAGTAAACATCCTGGGATGGGGGTTAGGATGCCACCTTTAGGTAGAAACATACTAGAGGCTAAAAACATAGGAAGCCAGATCATGGACGTGAAAACTGTCAGCCATCTCAAAAACAGCCTAAGACATCCAACTGTAGTGGTTGGAAAGCCAGATTGTGTACGCCAGACCATTTTTATGCTAGGGATATTTTCTAATTTCCTATTTAACAGTTCTACAGTCTTTTAAAAACTCTTGCTTTGGTCAGAGGTTGTAAAGGGAAAGTGTTTGGGATCACCCCTGGGCTATAACTCGGGGTGAGAGGTGGGCAGCACATGCCCTGGAGCCCAATAGTAGCTAAAGTGAGGGAAACTTGGTAGAGGTTGGGGACATGAGACACCAGAGAGTCAAAGCTGGGCCAATCATCTCTGGATATACTCCTCCTGGGGAATTAGCCAGAGAGTTCATCCATTTTATGGAAAATAATTTCCCTCTCACTCAGCACAAAGCTCGCCTACTCTGCTTCCTGACCTCCAAAATGCCATGAGCCTGCCTGGGAACATATTCTCCTCAGCTCCAACCTAGCTCTACCACTGGCCCTCCTTCAAAACTCAGCTAAAACCTCATCTCCAACTAAGCCCATCTGGCTGTACAAGCCCCAAGTCATTTAAGTAACTTCATAACAACCCTTGTAGAACCTGAAATAGCTCTTGCACACATCAAATTCTATTAAAATAGAGTACTTGCAAATATCCCACTTTTTATATACCAGAATATAGTTATATTAATATAGTGTGTCTGTGTTCCAATTCAGAGTAACCCATTCCTTGTCTCCACTATCCTTCACAATGTTTTTATAAATACTAGCCCAATATTACTGATGCTAAACATGGTTTCTCTTATCCAAAGAATCTTATCAACACTAACTTCCTGAGTTTGCAAAGTACAGGGTCTGTGTCACATAGCTAAGGCTTCAGAGGCTCCACCTCCAACCCTGGGCATTTTACAGCCTACCATTAAATAGTCCCCAGCTACACTAGGATAAGACTATTTTACAACCAAGGCACTAGGAGGCCTGAAATGATTACTGTTGCCACACAGCTATAGTCACAAACGTCCTAATTCTCTGGCTTACTGTCCTAAGACCCCAGATTCCAGGGAGCCTCTGCTAATACCTGGAGATCATATTTCCCTAAGCAGAGGCTAGCTAACCCCCTGCCTAGAGAGAAGGGACCCTTCCATTTTTCAGCCTCACCACTCATGCAAGGTCTTGACAATATTATTGATGTCCTTCTTTCGGATGTCACGGCCAATGCAGAAGTCCACTTCCAGAAGCTGGTTTCGCTGGTCCAGCTTGCCTTGGATGATGTCTGTGTAGACAGCCTCTATGATGAGGTCTTCCAGTTCCCGGAGATTCCGCATCTCCAGGTCCTTCAGCAGCACGGAGTAGGGGATACACTGCAGATAAGGCCAAGTGATATTTACAAAAACCACTGGCAAACATTAAAAAATGCATGAATTACCAACATAGCGAACAGCTGCCTCTGGGCTTTGGGAAATGCAGTGTAATGATAATTATTAACATCTATGGCAACAAGAGATGGCTAAATGAGTTATAAGACCTATGGGATCCAAACAAAACCCATTAGCCCATCTAGAAATGCGTTATCCAAGATTCTCTGCCTCCTGGAATTTGCCCCACCTTCAGCTTTCATGCTCTAAAGCAAACTCTTTGGGATCCTAAAGACTCTTTCCAGAAGAGAAAGGGAAATACTTGGTATATGCCACTCTGCCACCTTCTGGAAGCTTGCAAACTTTGCATAAAATTCCAGCTCATCACAAAACTCCAAACAATCTGATGTTGGCGAGGAGAACTGAGGGCACAAGCAAAAACACATGCAGGCTAACACATCCACTATAGGTGACCAGCTCAGTCATCCTCAAGCTTACAATTGTTTTCTCAAACTCTTGCAACCAATGTCAATTCCCAACAACAGTCCTTTATTGGGCTGTACCAACATTCTGCATGACTCCAAGACAATTGGATATCTAAACATCCAGCTTTCTGCAAATCCTGACACATTACTTTTAGACTGAAAATTAACATAGTGATCAAATCTGCAGAAACTGACAGGAGAAAATGGATACAGAGGAGAGAGCACACCTACCTAGAGTGGTTTTTATGATTAAAGGTCTGAAATGACAGGTTGCAAAAATAAAGGAAAAAGTTACTACTACTCTTGGTACATTTAAGAAATCCGTGGTCAGGACAAAAATAAATAAATAAATAAATAAATAACAGGTCATCATTCCCTAACAAAATAGGCCTCCCCTCTGAAATGTCAGGCTAAGAAGCAGAAGTTTGTGATTAGATCAGATAAAGTGATTTCAGCAACTGAAATGACAATACAAGAACAAACATATACCTCTCAAGCTCCATCACAGAGGGGAAATCCAAAAACACATTCTTCAAAGGCATAGCCCCGCCAAAACTCACTCAGGCTGGGATTGGGCAGACAGCCAAAGCAACTATCAGCCAACCTAATCTGGATCTTCTTTGTTAATGACTGTGAGCAGCTGGTTGCAAGGCTGCTGCTAAAGTGAATGGGGCAGAGAACTCAGATATAATGCAGTGACATCTTACAGAAGGTTTGGGTCTAAAGCTAGGCAAAAACTCCAATTAGTGTAATTAATCTTGAAAATCCCCAGAGGGCCCTGGCTGATTTAGCTCAGTAGATAGAGCATTGGCCCACATACTGAAGGGTCCCAGGGTTTGATTCTAGTCAAGGACACATACCTTGGTTACAGGCTCAATTCCCAGCCCCAATGCGGGAGGCAACCATTTGTTGTGTTTCTCTCACTCTGTCTTTCCCATTTCCTCCCACTCTATAAAAAATCAACTGGGAAAATATCCTCAGGTGAATATTAACAAAAATAAATAAGAAGAAAATTCCTAGAGGAAAGCAGCATATTAGAAATTACTTCTCAGTAAGTCCAACAAAGCAAATTTTTCCTCCAGCAACTGTTCACTGAGCAGCAAATAAAGTGGTTAACTTGCCCTGAGATGCCCTGCTATTTGAAAAATACCTATCTTTAGACAGCAGTCTCCCTTTAGGATGGCAAATACTCACACCACATGAGGCAACACGGCATGCCAGAACTGAGATCTGCTGATTCACAATCACTCCTGGGCATATTTTTCCTAAATGGGAGGGTGAGTTATTGTCAACACTATTTTAATTATCTTTTTATCTTTTGTCCTTTGCCAAGCAAATCTTTATGCATTTATGCTATGGCTCTACTGTGCATAGCTGGGAATTCCCACATTTATGCCAATTACAGACCTGTCTCAGGGGAGGAGGAGACAGGAAAGGGTTCAGAACTGTACCTTCATTCTCGACGCCAAGCTCACGATGGTAAGGTGCTTCAGCTTGTTCTGCTGAGCTGTGCTCAGTTCTGGCAGGCTCTCCTTGTTGGCTGCTCAGTCCCACCCACCACAAAAATCAAGACACAAAATAAAATTAGGATTTCTTTATGGGATAAGCACACCATTTCCTCACACCAAATCTTCTACTAAGTCGTTCATGACTCTTCACTTATTCATTAGGCAAATGTTCCATGAGCACTTCCTGTCTTTTCTGGAAGATCATGTGCTTCCAAAGAAGACAAGGCTCAGTCTCTACACACAAGGAGCTTAAACGCCTGAAAATCCAGGCATGAATGCACAAAATGATGACAATTAACCTAATGGAATAGTACTATTTGTACCCTTTGTGACATTCAATCAAGTTCAACACATCTTCACTGAGCATCTGTTCTGTGCAAGGCACAATCTTAAATGATTCAGGGGCACTGAGGATAGATAAGATGGGCCTTGACAGGACTGCTGCACTACACATCTCCAGGGGCACCAACCATCTGGAGCTATGTCACTCAGTGGCCCTGGACTCATCCTCAGTGTTACAAGCAGGTATTTCAACAGCTACAAATGCAAGGCAGAACTAATAGAAGGTCCAAACTATCACAAGAGAGCAAAAGGGTGAGGAAGAGAGGGGGAAGGGATGTGGGAGAAAGGGAGAGACAGAGCTAGGAAAGGGTAGGAGAAAGACCGAGAACGAGTGAGTCCAATCACATTGGGAGGTACAGGAGAGGGGGAAAAAGAAACATAAGAGTTTGAGATGAGTCTTGAAGGATAGGCAGAATTTCAGTAATAGCAATGATGCTAACAATAGCCATGGCGGCAGCCACAGCTAACATACAGGACAAGCTTAACTTAGTGTAGATGCACACACAGATCCAGAGGCACATACACACAACAAGGCCTCACAACAACGCATGAAATAGATTCTAAAAGCTCTCAAGTCCTTACCCATAATACTGGACTCCAAAAGGGTAAATCCAAACTGATCTTATTTCTCCTTGAGCATAGTACTAAAATTCATCTATTAGCAATTCCTAATCTGAATTAAGGTGGGCTTTTTATCCCACTTGTGAACATTCACTTATTTTGCTACAAAACTATGATTGCAGCCATGGCTGAGTGGCTCAGTTGCCTACAATGTCGTTCCGTACACCAAAAGGTTGCGATTTGATTCCTGCTCAGGGAACATACCTAGGTTGCAAGTTCACTCCTTGGTCAGAGCACATAGGGGAAGATACCTGATGATATTTCTCTCTTACATCCATATCTGTCTGTCTATCTGTCTCTCTCTTAATCCCTTCCTCTCTCTATAAAAAAATCAATAGAAAACATATTCTTGGGTGAGGACTAAACAAATTATGATTGTGTTTGACTACAAGGACTGCCCACACCCCTCAAAGGTGTTACATAAAAATGCAGATGCATCATATTACCTTTTTTAATTCTCACAAATTCTAAATTCTGAAACATTTTGCCCAAGAAGTACAGGTAGAGGACAATAGTCCTGGATTATTACAGAGAAGGAAACTGAGGCAGAGAAGATTATTTAATTTTCTAAGGCCACAACCAGTGGAAGTGAAGCTAGAATATGCAGGCAGCCAAAACCGATTTGGCTCAGTGGATAGAGCATCGGCCTGCGGACTGAAAGGTCCCGGGTTCGATTCCAGTCAAAGGCATGTACCTTGGTTGCGGGCACATCCCTGGTAGGGGGTGTGCAAGAGGCAGCTGATCGATGTTCTCTCATTGATGTTTCTAACTCTCTATCCCTCTCTCTTCCTCTCTGTGAAAAATTAATAAAATATATTAAAAAAAAAAAAAAAAAAAAAACACAGTCCAAACTTAAAAAAAAAAAAAAAAAAGAATATGCAGGCAATCTGGTTCCAGAGTTTGAGCAATTCTGCCTCTACAGTGAGGACAGAAACAGAGGACACACTCATTGGAACAAAGTGAAGATCAGGAAAAACTGGCAAGTGGTAAACTATATAGCCTGACAGCAGCAAAGAGTAAGCAGAAGTGATGAGCAAGAAAGAGGATAAGTCAGGGATATAGTAGGGAATGCTCTGAGTCACACCACTAAAATAAACTACCAGGCCTTTGTCATGCCACTAAAATAAGCCAGGGAAGCCAGACAAAAATGGCTTGGGTGGGAAGTAAGTTAGCATTTGGACATGCATGGACTTCATTCCTAATATTTATTATTCTAATTTTAAATGACTCAAATTACCTACAGAAGAGAATGGACTAAGTCAATTATGGAATAGCAGATTGTGAAATACTAAAAATGATTTCACAGACTTAAAACATGAATAAATACCTATGAAATAAGTGAAGGAAAAAGCAAGATGTAAAATTGTGTACGTAATCTAGTTATACATACATAATAAAAAACCCAAGCAGAGGGGGAAAATCCAGCACCATAACACTAACAGCAGTTTAACACTGGTACAACTATGAGTGATTCTCTTTCCCCCTCCCCCCACTATTTTCCAAATTTTCTTCAATATAGTATAGCAATATTATTTTGTTAACATTTGAAATGTTTACTTTACAAGTGGATATTCTGACATTTCACAACACTCCAAGTGTTCTACAAACACCAGTCCTCAAAAATCTCATCTGGAAAGTAAACAAGGGCTATATTTATGGATGAGCATAAACATAGTCCCCATTTAACCCATTAAGAAATAAAGGTGACATTTGTAATAATATGAACAATAAAAATTAAGAAAAAATAAATAAATAAATAAATAAATGCAACTTTAAAAAAAAAAAAAGAAATAAAGGTGAGCCGAAACCGGTTTGGCTCAATGGATAGAGCGTCAGCTTGGGGACTGAAAGATCCCGGGTTCGATTTCGGTCAAGGGCATGTACCTTGGTTGCAAGCATATCCCCAGTAGGGGGTGTGCAAGAGGCAGCTGATCGATGACTCTCATCGATGTTTCTAACTCTCTCTCTCTCTCCTTTCCTCTCTGTACAAAATCAATAAAATATTTTTTTTTTAAAAAGAATAAAGGTGAGCCGAAACTGGTTTGGCTCAGTGGATAGAGCGTCGGTCTGCGGACTGAAAGGTCCCAGGTTCAATTCCAGTCAAGGGCATGTACCTTGGTTGTGGGCAGATTCCCAGTAGGGGGTGTAAAAGAGGCAGATCAATGATTCTCTCTCATTGATGTTTCTAACTCTCTATCCCTCTCTCTTCCTCTCTGTAAAAACATCAGTAAAATATATTTTGAAAGAAAGAAAGAAAGAAAGAAAGAAAGAAAGAAAGAAAGAAAGAAAGAAAGAAAGAAAAGAAAAGAAAAGAAAAGAAAAGAAAAGAAAAGAAAAGAAAAGAAAAGAAAAGAAAAGAAAAGAAAAGAAAAGAAAAGAAAAGAAAAGAAAAGAAAGGTGAGCCCTAACCAGTTTGGCAGAGTGGCCTGTAGACTGAAAGGTCCCAAGTTCGATTCAGGGCAAAGGGATATACCTGAGTTGCAGGCATATCCCTCTCTCTCTCCCTTCCTCTCTGTAAAAAATCAATGAAATCTATTTTTTTAAAAAGAAATGAGAGGTGAGAAGGAAGAGTCCTCATATAAGATCACCTACAGAGCACAGTAAATGGACAATAGCAGGTCAAGAAGTTCCCACCTCATGCTTTATATCCCAAACCTTAGTGATCCTCTTGGAGGCAACACATGTAAACAGAGAGGGATATAACTGAGAAAAGTCTTTGGAGGATCTTAACCAACTCACCTATGTAATCTGGGTATGTCCCATAGGCAAACAGGTTCAGCAACTGCAAATATGCAGCATTAGCTCCTTCTGCAAGCTGAGGAGGAAAAGAAACAGTTCAGAGACAAAGCTGTCCATCAATCACTGGCAGTATTCAAGCAGAAGCCGAGTGACCACGTGCCACCGTTCTGTATTCTATTAGCTGTTCCCTTCCAATTCTTTCTTTGGGGGGGAAAAAGTATTAAGATTATTAAAGCCCCCAATTTCACTTTTATCTCTCAGGAATTCCTTTTTTTACATTTCACATAGCATGCCCAAGGAACTACTTTTGCTTCCAGACACACAAAGCAGTATTAGAAGCAGTTCAAGTTTTCTCAAGATTCCCTTGCTATAAAAATGAACACTGGAGCAATCTTGTCCACACACCACCTTGGCAGGTACAGCATGAGCCACTATCGATCCAAATTAAAGAAAATGTAGGTTTGGTTCCAAGTTTCAGGACTCCATGTAGACTGTGACACTGGGAGATTAGCACAGCCTAAAGTGCGACAGAAGAGCCAGGTTGGGACAAGAAACCATGATTTCAGGCACCCTAAATAAAACTTTTCATTAAAATTACTTATTCCTCACTAATGTTGGTGTCAAAGACCTTTCTTTATAAGAAAAACGAAAGAGAATGTGTTCTTCCTGAACTGCTCTGCTCTGCTGTCAATTACTTTAACTAGGTGTTTCTTTTACTCACAAATATGGACCTGTTAACTCTTCCAATTTACCAAACTCAGTGAAGTCTAAACAGGAATACCCAAGTTATTCTATGGACACCAATGACATACTATTCAATTTTAACCATCTTTTTAAAAAAGGGTTCCAAGCCTAGCCAGTGTTGTTCAGTGGCTGAGCATTAACCCCATGAATCAGGAGGTCAAGGTTCAGTTCCCAGTTAGAGCACTTGCCCGGGATTGCAGGATCGATCCCCAGTAGGGAGTGTGCAGGAGGCATCCGATCAATGATTCTCTCTCATCATTAACGTTTCTAGTCCTCTCCCTTCCTCTCTCTGAAATCAATAAAAGCATTTTATTAAGTTTAATAAAGGGTTCCAAGAAACTACAATTGTAATTTCAAACCACTGAAAGTCAACCAGCTCATTCCAGGCTTACATATGGAAAAATCAGAACAAACTACAGGGAGGTAAAGGATTTGTTAAACACCTCAAATTAGAGCAAGCATCCTAATATCCAGTCTACCTTTTAGGTATGTTAACAACTTCCTGAGGTCCTGAGTCAATCCCTACTTTTCAAACAGATGATTACAAAACTAGCAGTAACAGACTATTTCCTCTAGAACAGATGCTCCAAAACTACTCCCACTGGCCCAAATCAATAAGGTCTTTCCAGTTTTAATTTTCATCCATCTCCTCTTAGCCAATCTTTCACAATTACAAAACAACTAGTTGGCATATTCATTCAGGCTTTTTATGAACCTGAAGGAACAGATTATCCCTTAGTTATCTCTTCTATTTAAATGATTAACTATCAAGCCATGAAAAGACACGGAGGAAATTTAAATGCATATTACCAAGGAAAGAAGCCTATCTGAAAAAGCTACAAATTATATGATTCCCTCTATAGCAGCGTTTGCCAACTGGTGGTCCCCAGACCACTGGCGGCCTATGAGGTCCAAAAGGTTGACGACCACTGGTTAAGGAAACCTTTGGAGCAGTGGTCCCCAACTGGTTGTCCGTGAGGTCCAAAAGAGTGGCAACCGCTGCTCTATAGCATAATAGAAAAGTCAAAATTACAATGACAGCAAATAGATCAATGGTTGCCAAGAGTTAGAAGGAAGGGAGTGATGAACAGGTAGAATACAGAGGAGTTCTAGGGCAGTGAAACTACTCTGCATGATACTGTAATAGGGGATACATGGCATTTTGCATTTGTTCAAACCCATAGAATGTACAGCACCAAGAGTGAACCCAATGTAAATTATGATGTGTTAATGCAGGCTCCACATTGGTGAGGGATATTGGTAAAGGGGGAGGCTATGCATGTGTGAGGGCAGGGGATATATGGTAAATCTCTACCTTTCTTTCAATTTTACTGTGAATCTAAAACTGCTCTAGCCTGGCCAGCATGGCTCAGTGGTTGAACATTAACCTATGAACCGGAAGGTAATGGTTCAATTCCCGGTCAAGGCACATGCCTGGGTTGTGGGCTCCATCCCCAGTATGGGACGCGCAGGAGGCAGCCAATCAGTGATTCTCTCTCATCATTGATGTTTCTATCTCTCTCTTCCTCTCTGAAATCAATAAAAATATTTTTTTAAACTGCTCTAAAAAATAAAGTCTATTTTTTTAAAAAGAACCCAGCTCTCCTCAATTTTTCTCGTAGCATTCCTTTTCCATCTCTGATATATTAAATTTGTACTGAAAGCCCACTGTGTGTCCATCTACATATTAAGCTGTAAGGAAACAAGGGTGAGCACAATGGAGCAAAATCTCAACAACACTAATATTTTTTAAAAATTCACAATTAAAAAAATAAAAGCAGCTCTTTTGGTCTCCAGCTGTTGCAGAGAAAAGAAATGACACTATGTCCACGTGCCTACAATGGATGGGCATAAGGAACTGCTCCAATATCCTCACTAAGAGGAATAAGCAGCCCTAACTGATTTGGCTCAGTGGATAGAGCATTGGCCTGCGGACTGAAGGGTCCAAGGTTCGATTCCAGTCAAGGACATGTACCTTGGTTGCGGGCACATCCCCAATAGGGGGTGTGCAGGAGGCAGCTCATCGATGTTTCTAACTCTCTATCTTTCTCCCTTCCTCTCTGTAAAAAATCAATAAAATATATTTTTTTAAAAGAGGAATAAGCAGATGTACAGCAGCAAGGCCAGTCATCTGAAGGCCTGCAACTCCTACTACAATGGGCTGATTCACCACAAAGCTGTAGGTGTGGAGCCAGCAGCCAACAGCAGAAGTGTCCTCGTGGTCGTGAAGTGAAGAACCAGCCAACAAAAGACAACTACCTCCACTCTGGCTGGTGGGTCCAGAGGTAAGCGAGTTGGCCCGCACACCCAGGGGTCACAGAGTTGGTTCTGGTCAACATTTCTGGGTTGCAAGTTCCCTGGCTCCAGTCGGGGATTGTGCAGGGAGTAACCAATTGATGTGTCTCTCATATCAATGTGGTTTGTTTTTTTCTCTCTTTCCCCCTCCCTCCTTTCTACACCCTCTCCCTTTCACTCCCTTTAAAAAGCAATGGAAAAAAAATATCAAATGAGGATAAAAAATAAAAACGCCTATGTGTGGACCATCAAAAATAAGAACACCAGGCCACCCTTCGCCATATCATGCACACAATCCACAAGAACAAGTACTGCCCAGATTTGTGATGGAAGCCATCTGCAGAGCCAGCACTATCCTAGCAGCCAGAAAGAAGCTGTGATGGTAAAAAAGAAGCCAACCCTCACCACAAAGAGCCTGAACACAACCCCCAAAGTAATAAAGATGCCACAGACTTCTATCTATCTCAGTCAATAAGTATAAAAATATCAATCCATAAATAAATACAGTAATTCTCCATATCCAGAGGCTTCACATTGGTGATTCAACCAACCACAAACCAAAAATATTTGGGAGGGAAAGTCCCAGGAAGTTCCAATAAGCAAGCCTTGAATTAGCCAGGCACCAAGCACTATGATGAATCCATGTGGATGAGGTGATGTGATAGCATACCCCGCTGTATATGTAAACACTGTGCTATTTTATACAAGGGACTTGAGCATCACAGGGGGGTCCTGGAACCAATCCCCCAGTGATACTAAGGGATAACCATATAAAAGTATCCAAAGTGGGAAGTGAAAATTGAAAAGTATAAGTTGCTTTACATCTCTTTATTCCACCTATTCATTCTTCACTGGATCATCTCATTTTTAAGGCACAAGAACCAAAACTGGATACCCAAGGTTTTAATAACTACAATCAAACAATGAAGCAAACAAACAAAAAGGACTAGTTCACTGCTTGTCAGTCATATCCTTTTTATACATCTACTTAACACATCTACACAACATTGCCCTTTTCCACAGGAAAAATACATTCCTTATTCATGCCTATCTCAGGTTCAACAGCAAACATTTTCTGCTATTATACACCTGACCAGTCTTCCTTGTCTATATTTGCACTGGAGGTTTTATCCTTAAGAATGCCTAAAATTACCCCTGTTAAAGATCAGTCTATAATTACACTCTATGTTTCTAACTTATTAAGTTTAACTGGATCTTTTCCCTATCTTTCAAAATTAGATTAGCAACCCAATCTAATTTAGTTCAGATGAAAATGCTGACTAGTAGGAGTCCAAGATATTATCCTTGCTCTCTTTCCCTGTCCCACCAATTCTCATTTCTCCCTCAACAGGGTACCTCACAGGTCCACAGTGCTTTGGCACTGAAATTCCTTGTAAACCTGAATATTCAAATGAAGGCTTAGAATAAAGGAGATAGAAAAATTGTTCTTACCTCCTGCACATTGGCCAGCTCCAGCAGTTCTCCGAAGACATAGACTCCAGGAGCCTCCAAGACTTGGTTTATGAGAGCAGTGAGGGCTGAGCCACTGGTACCTTTGGCTAGTAAAATAAACTGTTCCAGGAGGTTACTTGAGGGTTTCTGTTCACCTGCCATTCTCTGGTCTTAAGATCTGTCCAAAATAAAGGTGTTGCCATCATTTTTCCTTCCCTTTGCAAAGTCTATGCTTATTTAATGCTGGATCAGATATCTAAATAATTTTATAGTATTAAAAAAGAAGAAAAAAAAGTCCAGATGCTATGACCACTTAGTGAGATGAGTAGGATTCAACCTGGAATTAAAGGGATTTTGTCCTTATGCTGAGGTTTGAAACATACTTAGTAAAAGCCACTTTATCTCCATCTGACCCTTTCCCAAAGGCAGCATGTTCTAAACCCTTAAACCTAACCAGGACTTAAACACATGGGAATTTTTCAGTACCTGTTTTATATTCACCTTACTTATAGACTCCTTAAGAAAAAGGAAATATTTCACATACACAGAAGTGGCAGATAAAAGCAAAAGCAATCAGTTACAGCTTCCAGTGTATCATTAGACTTTCACCTGCAGCCAGGTGCAGATAAGGAAAAGACCCAAAAAGAGACCAAGAAGGGTGTCTCGTTTAATCAGAAAAGTTATTGAAGCATAGAAAAAAGGGGGGAAATCATCTTGAAAGATAAGCAACAACATATTCAAACTAAGAAAATACATGGTGTGTAAGTCCATAAAAAAAAAAATCTCTCAATTCGGCCTCCTACTTGATATGTAACACTTTACCACACTTGACTTCAGAATTTGTATGAAACTCAAAAAAACAATGAAGACATTAGGGGCAGGAGAGTCCCTCAACTGCATAATCTAACCACAAGCTGAGTGCATGTGAACGCACACACCGCACACCTACTGCACAGGAATCCTGCATAAGAAAAGCTTACTCCTCCAAGAACGGTACGGATTGGGGCAGTATGGCAAAATGAAGGCGAAGAATCACAGTAAGCTGAAGCAGAGGACAATTCAAAGAACGACAACTTTGGTGCAAGAGAAACAAAGTTTTCCTGGGGAAGCAGGCACACAGGGCAGCAGCAGCCCTTTCACAGTATTAGAGAAATAAGTATGTCGCCTCACTTAAGATTACCTAAGGTCTTGTTGGAAACAAAAAAAAAAAAAAAAAAAAAAAAAAAAAAAAGTTAAGTGCCAGGGAATAAAGATTGCTGAGAAGGCCAGAGGAGAGTGGAGAGGAGGAGAGAAGGTGGAAGAAGAGGGGTAGGTGATGGCTAGGAGAGGATGAGCGAAAACCTCCTTCTTTCCAAGTGGAACACGTGTGAAACGATTCAATGTAAGGGACTTTGAGATTCGACAAATGGGCAGAAATTTCGGTTCTTAAAAAAAAAAAATCGGCCTAAAGAGCAAAGTCCTTGGGGGCAAAAGAGGTAAGAAGGCGCTGGGGACTGCTTTCTTCTGGAGTGGGCGGGCCCGAGAAGGAGGCTGGAGACGCAGGGATGATGAATTCCCGTCGAGGGGGGCACTATTTTGAAGGATCGCGGAGAGGCAAAGGGGCAGCCTTTGAGGATGGGGGAGCGAGGGGAGCCGCGGGGCAGCAGCTGAGGGTCTCGGGCTAGGAGACTTCGGGGAGTGCGGAGCGGCGGCGGCATGCTCCAGCCAGAGCGGCGAGTGCGGAGTGAGGAGCCGCGGGGCGCGCTCTCCGGGGCGGGGGCGGGGCAGTGCAGCCGCGGGCTTTCCCGGCGGCGGGCGCGAAGCCGAACAGCCCCGACTAACCTGGCCTGCTGGGTCCCGCCTTCTCGCTGACCCCGACCTGTCTTCGCGGTCTCTCCGTCCTTTAGCTCGCTGTCTCGGCCTCCCGGCGCCTGCCCGCGGGTTGTCAAGCGTCCATGATCGACCCGGCGTCCGACGCTTTTCTACCTCCGCCGACCCGTCGCTCTTAGCGCTCCCCCGGAAGCCTCCCGCCGCCGCACTCGAGTTCCGCCTACATTAAGTTCCCCTCGCTGAGAAAGGGGTCCTTGTGGGTCTGTAGCCCAGGAGTCGGTGTGAGCGGTCGCCAACCCGTGGTCCGCGCGGGTCCGAAAGATTGGCGACCGCTTAGGCAGTACTGGGGCCCAAGCTATCACCATCACCATTTCCTGGATCTGAAATCCACCCCTTTGGTGGAGCTTTACCCCCAGGAGTTCCCTATGGCGACTATGGCTACCCTGGCGTATGGAGACAATTAATCCTAATAACTGTTTATTAATCGTTTTTTCATGTGCTAAGTGCTGTACATTGTCATTTTCATAATTCTAGGCCTATAATATAATCCCCATTTTTCAGGTGAATTAACTACACCTAAAAAATCCAAAAGCCAGTAAAAAGCAAAGTCTGCTTTGGCACCTAGGCTATCTGAAGCCAAAAACAATGTATTTGACATCTATTCAGAAATGTTTTAAAATAAACAAGACCTGGGTTGAGTCAACAATGCCTCTGTGACCAAAATAGCATTCATGGCTGCATTTGGGACTTATCAACTCCACTGGAAGATGGCAAAGGGAGATGGCTACATAATAACTGAATACTTAGGCTGATTCCTTTAAAGTACAGTATACACCGCAGGCTTTCAGGTCTTTTTTTTTTTTTTTAATATGTTTATTAAAGCTGGGGACAAGGAAGGGCCTAAGATAAAAGAAACAACCGGAGCGAGCCTAGGCAGGCCTGCTTTGACTCTCTAGAAATGTTATGGGAAAGAGGTGAGCCAAGGCGGGGCTGTTGTCAGCTCACTGAAAAGTCAGAAAAAAATGGGCCCTTGGAGACAGCAATGCCGTTGCCTATTGCTCCACTGGTTGCAAATTCTGTGGGGAGCCTTAGAGTTTAGGAGAAAGAAAATTCACGAAAAGGAGATTCAAGTGGGGACTCTCCTACTTTCAGGTCTTGAAGATGAGGAAAAGACCTCTATTTGCTTTTTGTGCTTTATAGAGTGCAGAAATCAGGACAGATGTGAAGGAGCCTAACACCATGTTATTTTCTAGAATGTTATATGAAGAAAAAAAACAAGATTCTTGCCCTCAAAAGCTTCAATGTGTTAAGTGCTATGAGAAACAACACTTTGGAAGCACAGGAGAGTATGTTGAGGAGGAAGAAAAAATAGGCATCTTCAAGGCAAAAATGGGAAGAAAGGGGCAGTGATCACACTTACGGGTTTGCATTGTGCAACATATATTGATGCAGAAAAGAAACCCAGAATAGCTGGAACCAAGGTTTCAGAAATTAGGATACAGAACTGGAATCAGGTCATCCAGGGTCTTGGAAACCATACCCAGTAAATACCTAAGTTCAGCAAAGTTTCTACCTTTGAGAGTTTACTGTCCCCTGGAAGAGACAGACCTATCTGACTATGATAGATGATTGCCATAAGCACCTAGGAATATAGGCAAGGCTCTCCTTGGAGATGAGGCTTGAGTTCAGCCAGGAAGAATAAGCAAACAAATCACAAATGGTGAAAACCATATACAAGAGGTTTTATTTTATCTTAAGGGCACTGAGGGCCAAGTTTGGGGTTTGAAGCTGTGGAGAGTTATGAATAATTGCCATTTTAGAACGATCACACCAGCTATTCTAGGAATGGATTAGATGTGGAGAGAACTGAAGCAGAGAAACCCTTGAGTGACTTGATGTATTCTAGATAAGAGAATAGAGAAGAGGGTCCAATGTGGACTCCACATTCCTGACCATGACCTTTGTCCAGCACCTATGAATCCTTCCATATTGTACTTAATAAAAGATGACTGTTTAAAAAAAAAGTTTTTAAAATAAAATATTACCAACTCTGTACACAAAGATTTCTTAAACTTTATGTAAAAAGCATTAATCATAAAAGAAAACACAACTATTGCACTAGAATTAAGAATTTCTGTGTATCAAAAGACACCAGTAAAGAGAGTGAAAGGACAAGCTACAGACTTGGAAAAAGATATTTGCAAGCATACGTCAGACAAATAATTCCATATCCAGGCTATAAAAAGAACTATAAATCAATAAGAAGACAAACAGCCCAGTAAAAAATAAATAAATAAAAGATTTGAACAAGTATTTCACAAAAGAAGACATCCAAATAGCCAATGAGCACATGGAAAGGCCCTCAACATCAGAGACATGTAAATAAGAACTATATGCTATGAGATGCCACCTTTAACCAAAAGACTGGCAGCACCCAATATTGACAAGGTTAAAAATCAGCTAGAGCTCTTACATTGCCGGTGAAGATGAGAACTGCTACAAACACTTGCAAAACTGGCAACATCTACTATTGCTGAATAACATATCCAGCAGCTCCTCTCCTCTAAATGAATACACAAGTCCACAGAAAGAAACATAGAAATGCTCATTGCAACTCCTGGCCCAGTAGCTCAGTTGGTTAGAGCATTAACCTGATATGCCAAGGTTTTGGGTTTGATCTCCAGTTAGGGCATATCCAAGAATCAACCAATGAATTTGTGAATGGGTGGAACAACAAATCAATGTTTTTATCTCTCTAAAATTCAGTTTTTAAAATTGATTTCAAAGAAGAGAGAGATAGAAACATCGATGATGTGAGAGGATCATTGATCGGCTGCCTCCTGCACATCCCCTCCTGGGGATTGAGCCTGCAACCTGAGCATATCCCCTTAACTGGAATTGAACTCGGGACCCTTCAAACCAATGCTCTATCCACTGAGCCAAACCAGCTAAGACTAAAATAAATTTAAAAAAAAAAGAATCAACCAATGATTGCATAAATAAGTGGAAGAACAAATCAATGTCTCTTTCTTTCTTCAAAAATCAATCAATAAAAAAATTATAATAAAGATTGCTTATTTCAGCTTTGTTAATAAAAGCCAAAAGTTGATAATTAATAATCTAAATGTCCATCAACAGTGTTATATGCATACTATGGAATACTATTCAGCAATTTTTTTAAAAGCTACTGCTACATATGGGTGAATGTCACAAAAATATTGATGAATGAAAGAAGACATTCATATTGTATATATTGTATAATTACATTTAAATGAAACTCAAGAACAAATAAAACTGATCTAAGGTGATAGAAGTCAAAAGAGTGGTTATTGGGATGCAAAGATGCAGTACTGACTGTAAGGGGTACAATGGATCCTGGAATAAATGCTATACCTTGATTTAGGGAGTGGTGACACAGGTGTACACATATGCAAAAACTGTGCCCTTACTGAATGTTAAAAATCTAAAGATAAAATTGTTTAACCAAGAAAAAAAATCCTATCCTTCATATTCAAATGCCATCTCCTCTGTCAAGTTTTGCCAGCTAGAATACATCTATCTCTTCATTACAGCCTCTGTAGCATTCTGATGTCCTTTCTTTTTGCCATTTATCATGCTCCATCTCAAATCTCAGTGGAGTCTCATTTCCCTAACTAGATTATCTTCCGGTGGCAGTGACCATGTCTTTCACCTTTTACTGACAGAGGGCCTGGAAAATAAGGGAAGCTGAGAAAACTGTTGAATTACATGGAAGGAAAAATTGGGTGGCTGCCCATATAGGTTAAAGGGGAACAAAAAAAGGAAGGAAGGCCTAAAAAAAGAAATAAATCTCCAAGGTAACCTTAACTTACACTACAACTATTCCTACTTCCTGAAATCTCATTAAGTGTCACCTTGAGCAACAAAGAATGATGAAAAAGGTATTTTCAAGCATATGTCAGACAAATAATTCCAAATCCAGACTTGGTTTACCAAGATGAACAAACATCACACTTACAGGAAATCCACCAAATAAATGCATACCTAATCTCTGGGTGTTTTTACCTGTATGAGGAAATTTCACCAAGGAAACTGATAATCACATAGCCACGCTGCTAAAAATATCACCAGCCTGGTGTGCAAAAAGCTCAGACAGCGGGTCAGGACTCGTAGGGCCTAATTCTAACTCTACCCCAACTTGCTGTGACCGATGAACAATCTCTTCTCTTCTGTGGGCCTCAGTTTCCTCATTTGTAAAACAACAGGGGTCAGATTAGCAAATTCTCTAAAGTCCTTTCCTGTATTTATATTTTGGGTATACAATCACTCTCTCCAGTCCAACGCAGGAATACAATAAAAACCACCGCAAAACACGTAATAGGCGCTCCAGACCATAAAATCAGTATGATTTGAGTTATTTTGTTATATATCTTTCACGGTTTAACCAGTGTTTTTGTTTGTTTGCAGCCTTACCATGATTTGCAGGAGATTTCTGAGTTCCATGTAAACAGAAGTTACCTCTCTGTGGGCTGTCATCTTCTTTTAGAGTGAAGATGGTCTTCTCGCCTGGTCCCAACTCTCGAGATTCAAAAACCAGCAAACCTGAGAGAGGGTTTATGAATTTGCGCACATTGCGCGGCACACTGGAGTCTAAGTTACAGGGGAATAGGGTTTATGGAATGCTGGGATTTGTAGTCCCTGGGACTCTTTGCGCGCCGAGACCTGTGGTTCCCCTGTGCGCCCCTGGAATGCTGGGAAATGTAGTCTTTGGTTCATCGCACAGGGCAACCTGCCGTCATCTCAGCACTCAGACGCGGGAACGAGCCCCTCGAGCCTCGGCAGATCTGAAGCCAAACCTCCTGGGAGTGCAAACTCTAGGCAACAAGAACGAATGAAAATATTGTCCTACGGGACTTCCCGGGGAGGGCCCTTCCCACCGACGCTCTTCAACACACACACCCCCCCGCGAAGCCGCTAAGTGTTTCTATTGGATGAGCAGGATGCCAATCTCCGAGACGAGCTTTCTATTGGCCTTGGGGCGGGCACTCCTAGGCAAAGGGGAAAGAGAAGGGATCAGGAGCGGGAGCTGAGGGGAGGGAGAGGCCGGTCCAGGTCTGGCCTCCGCCACTGCTCGCCCGAGGTGTCCAGGCGGGGCTGCGGCTCGGTCCTCGGCTCCGGAGCACCGTCTGCGAGGCTCCGTCGGGCCAGCGTGGGAGAGCCGCGGGCGGCGGCTGCCGCATCATGTCAGCCAAGGACGAGCGTGCCAGGGAGATCCTGAGGGGCTTCAAACTGTATCCGCCCGGGAGCGGGGCGGGGTCGGGAGGACTCGGGAGGCGGCCGCTCGCTGAGGAGACGGGCCGGGGAAGGGAGCCGCGCCTGGTGGGCACCCGAAGGGTGGAGGCGGGGGAGAGGAAAGGAGAAGCTCCCCGCGCCCGCGATGGGAACGGGCGCTGGAGGCGGGGAACGGGGCGTCCGGAGAGAGGACGGGGACGTTGACGGGAGCCCCGCGGGGGTGGCGGCGGCGAAGGAGCCCTGGGATTGGGCTGGGGAAGGCGCCGGACGCCGGGAACGGCTGTCACGGAGGCCGGCTGGGGTCCGAGCTCCAGCCCGCCCCCAGAGGCCGCGAAGCAGCTGCGGCTCCCGGGGAAGGGCCGGGGGAGAGGAGGGTGGGCCTGGAGGTTCACAAGTAGCCTCTTTGGCGGGAAGCCCCTCGGGGGCGCAGGGAAAAGTGACTTGGAGCGACGGTCCTTGTGTGGGACATATGCAAACAGTTGCGTTAAACTCTCGGGTTCCCCCATCCCACACCACCCCCGCCTTGTTTCCACAACTTCTCTTCCTCACTTGTGGCTCCACGGGGCTGGAGCAGAGGAAGTGTGTGGGGGGGGGATAGGGGTCCCCCATCACCCTCATCTTAACTCTGTCTTGGCCTTTGAGGCATTGGACTGTGCTGCTTCTCCCTCAGCTCCTCGGCTTTCCAACAAAATGAGAACCATAGGCTTGTGCGTGCGATGCCTTGAAGTGTTTTGGTTTTGCTGTGGGACTCCTGGCAAAGGTATCTCAGCTCGGGTAGACAAGGTGGAGCTGTCCAGCAATTACTTGATTACGCCGGGGACTCAGTAGGATATACCGTCCTAAGGTATAGAAATCATTGCTTCAGGCCTGTTGTGGTACCGCTTGTGCAACCTCTCCTTAACGCAGTGAGGAAGCTTTGTGTTAAATCTGTAACCGTGTAATACAGGTGAAAAATACGCAACCTTGGACAGTCCAATTTTATATTTCCCTGCTGACCTTCATCTCTTCTTACAACGTATGCATACAGAATGGAACATTCGTAAATTCCTCTCTCAGTGATAACGTAGTCACCACTTTAGGGCTCCTCCCCTGAGGTTTAGTAAACCACTGTTTTCTGAGCCATGTGTTTTCACAATGCCCATTTCAACCCTGCAGATTTTAATGGCTTTGTCACAGTCAGAAACCAAGTTGTTAGTACGTTTTAGCACACAAATGCAAAAAAAAGTTAATAGACATTTTGAATATACAAATGAAAATTTCCAAATGGAAGCTGATTTGCTGTATTTGTTTAAAAAAAAAATCACACAACAGAAGTCATCACCTTTGCATACTACCATTTCAGTAATTTTATATAACTCCATGTACCTTCACATGCTTCTCTTCATAATGGCACCTGTAAGTATAATAGAATAGGATAGCTGAATGTTAGAAAAGCTATGGCATGGATTTTGTTTTTCCCTTAAGTAATTTATATTGTTATTTAACATGTATACTGTAGAAAGTAAGCCAGAGACTACGGAGAATTGTGATATTTCAGAAGCAATATTTTGTCAGCTTGGAATTAGCATATTGTTAAAAACAAGGAGGAGGTCTTATTAACTTTTGCACAGAGCAGAAAGGGAAAATTTGAGCTTTTCACCTTTGTTCTTGGACCTGTTGAGAAAGAGGCTAAGGGACAAATATGGAAAACAGTAGAAAGCAGAACCTCTGTCAGCCCAATAGCAAGGAAGGTGAATTAACCAAGTCAGTAATGACATTAGGGGGTCAAAAAACACATTTTTAAGAAATTAGATATAGGTTGATTAAATTACAAGGGAAGCAGTCACACTTTTAAAAAAGTTAGCATGGGAGTAGTGGAATGCTTATCCTCTGGTAGCCTTTTTTAACATCTGAGAATTAAGAGTAAAAAGGAGCCCTGGGCCGGGACCGGTTTGGCTCAGTGGATGGAGCGTCGGCCTGCGGACTGAAAGGTCCCAGGTTCGATTCCAGGCAAGGGCATGTACCGTGGTTGCGGGCACATCCCCAGTAGGGGGTGTGCAAGAGGCAGCTAATCGATAACTCTCTCTCATCGATATTTCTAACTCTCTATCCCTCTCTCTTTCTCTCTGTAAAAAAATCAATAAAAATATATTTAGAAAAGAAAAAAAAAAGGAGCCCTGGTCAGTGTTGCTCAGTGGTTGGAGCATTGGCCCCCTCACACTGAGGGGGTCTCTGGTTTGATTCCTAGTCAAGGGCGTGTCCCTCAGTTGCCATTTGGTCCCCCAACCTGGGCAGGGCAAGTTCAGGAAGCAACCAATTGGTGTGAGAAAGAAAGACACATCCCATTGATGGTGTGTGTGTACTCTGTCTTCTCCCTCCCTCCCTTCCGCTCTTCTAAAAAAGCAATAGAAGCCGAAACCGGTTTGGCTCAGTGGTAGAGCGTCAGTCTGCAGACTGAGGGGTCCCAGGTTCGATTCCCGTCAAGGGCATGTGCATTGGATGCGGGCACATCCCTGGTGGGGAGTGTGCAGGAGGCAGCTAGTCGATGTTTCTCTCTCATCGATGTTTCTAGCTTTCTATCTCTCTCCCTTCCTCTCTGTAAAAAAATCAATAAATAAATAAATAAATAAATAAATAAATAAATAACGATAGTTTTAAAAAGTAAATAAATAAATAAATAAATAAGCAATAGAAAAAGTATATCCTCTGGTGAGGCTTAATGAGAGAGAGAGAGAGAGAGAGAGAGAGAGAGAGAGAGAGAGAGAGATGGAAAGAAGTTCTAAGATTTGATATTACCTTCAGGAAAAATAAAATTGTTTTATTAAGAAACTACCTGACTGTTGTCCACCTTTTATTGAATTTTTTTCTGAACTTTCTTATAGAGTGTATTTCTATTAAAAGTTTTTTATTTTGTAACATATTTTATTGATTTTTTATAGAGAGGAAGGGAGAAGGATTGAAAGTTAGAAACATCAATGAGAGAGAAACACCGGATCAGCTGCCTCCTACACACCTCCTACTGGGGATGTGCCTGCAACCAAAGCACATGCCCTTGTCCAGAATCGAACCTGGGACCTTTCAGTCCACAGGCCAGCGCTGTATCCACTGAGCCAAACCGGTTAGGGCTAAAAAGTTGTTTTTAATTGCCATGATATTCTCCTACCACATTGACTATGTTGGTTTTTAAAAATTTGGGGCCAGTTTGGACAACAAACAATGTCTTCTTTTAGTTTATATTTCCCTCAATCACTAGGAGAGGTGATACTGGACTGTAGAGCTATGCTGCCTGCATTGAAATCCCAGCCCTGCATTCCTGGTTTTGTGTCCTTAAGCAACTTCTTTAACTGCTGCCTCAATTTCCTCATCTGTAAGTGGGGATAAAAATAGTACCTATCTCATAGGGTTATTGTGACCCTATGCAGAGTACCCAAACTATGAAACCCACTATGCATAGCATTTCCTGTGAGAGTTGTCATGAAGATTAAATGAGACTGCATATAAAATACTTAGTACATTGCCTGGCACTGTAAGTAATAAATGTTAAGTGCTGTTATTATTTGTTTTATTATTATTAATAATAACAGTAAAGATAATGTTTCTACAAAGCCACTTATTTTTCTGACATATAACCAATGTCTTCATGCTGTTATTCTCTTTTCTAACTGAGAAAAATATATTTTTTATTTGCCTCTTTGAAAAAGTGATTTAGTTTAATAAGCATTGATGTATACCTAGTGCTTACCTTGTTTTCTAGGAATTAATCACATTCCAATTTATGGCCAAAAGAGAACTAGTTTTTGTTTTGTTTTGTTTTTTAATATGTTCTTATTGATATCAGAGAAAGGAAGGGAGAGGAAGAGAGATAGAAACATCAGTGATGAGAGGGAATCATTGATCAGCTGCCTTCTACACGCCCCCTGCTTGGGATCGAGCCTTGCAACTCTGGCATGTATCCTCACTGGGAATCGAACCATGACCTCCTGGCTCATGGTTGATACTCAACCACTGAGCCAACCAGCCAGGCCAAAGAGAACTAGTTTGGCTCAGAAGGTTCTAACAATACCTTTCACTTGTATTCTTGCATTTCCTCTCTACAGTTTAGTCCTGGATCCCACATATCCTCTTTGTTGTAGCACCTGATCTTTGACTTTACTTCTAGTAAAAAATAGTTTGTTTTACATTTTCTATTCACTTAGTTTTCCTTACTAAGAATAGTAGACTGTCAAACTTTTTTTGAATGTCAGTATTACCTAATAGATGTCTTGGCTAAGTGTTAAAAATAAGTTTGATATTTATGCTTTTCTAAAATACAGTTTTTGACTATCAACCCCAGTTCTGATAAAGCAACCAAAACATACCACTCATACATCTAATGAACAATGTTGACCACAGATTGTCCAGTCATGGACTTCATGTAGATTGTGATTGGTAGTGTGTTTTCCAAGACACTCATACATAGACTCTGAGAGGTTGTTACTATTATCCTGAACGGATTAAGTGAATATAATGATCCGTTGATTATGTTATTTTGCATTATTTGGGAGGAATTTGGAGTATAATTAGATACTTATAGTCTTCTTCAAACCTAAATTTCTTTCCAAAATTGTGAATATGGTTTATAGTGAAACATTTTAGTGGCTTCTGGAGAAATGGACTAGAACATGGTAAGACTCGCATGGAAAATTCTGGTTATTTACTGTATTTGATAAAGGGCTAGCAATGGTGCTAAGGTTTGGTAGCTCTAGATTCTCATTAGGCTTAACCTCACTTTTGCCTCACAAGCCTCCTTTTTTCTTTTTCTTTTTTTTTAAATCAATCTTTATTGTTCATATTATTACAAAGGTTCCTCATTTCTTCCCCCCTCCACTAAGTTCCCACCCCACCCTCTGCCCTTTCCCCACCCCCCATTGTCCTCATCCATAGGTGCACAGTTTATGTTCAGTCTCTTCCCGCATCCACCACTTCCCTTCCCCCACCCCTAGAATTGTCAGTCCACTCCCCTCCCGTATCTCTGATTCTA